GGTGTGGGGGTGTGGGGTGGGGGAATAGAGTGGGGAAGATTGAGAAGGAGTTTTGGAAAATGTTTTCCTTTCTCTTAATAAGGAAAACATTTTCCTCCAATTGGAGGAAAATGAGTTGATAAGAAAAATATTTTCCAAAATATTTAAGCCAACCAAACATGGGAAAATTGAAAAACATTTTCCGAAATGTGATTATACATTTTTACATCTATCAAGCTCCTAATATGGTTTTGGTATATTTGGAGGTTGACATAGGATATGACCAAATAATCTATAGCGATTCTATCTCATTTTATCTTTTGTGTTATCTATACCTTCTGTCGAATATCATACATCCACTTTAGTATTCGCATTTTTGCAACACTCATCTTAGTTGTATATTAGTCTTTAAAGACTTTCATTTAAGAACGATTCTCCAAAATGTGCATCAACCTAGTTCAACTTAATATCATACAAATGGTTATACAGTCAAACCTCTCTATAACAGCCTCGTATGTTCCAAAATTTCTTTGATGCTATAGTAAAATATTGTTATATAAGACATATATTATAACGTAATATAATATTCGGTTCCGAGAATTACTCAGCTTTTATAGTGAATGACTATTGTACAAGAATGATGTTTGACTGTACCAGTTAATCTAAACAAGGAATGGACATTATTATTATTATTATTATTATTCTTTATATATGCCACTTGATCTACTGTCAAGCAGAAGCCCCACATATTTATGGGTTGTATGCACAGTCACAAGGGATTGTACTAGTTTGGTATGGTCCCAAAGCTTGTTTTGGATCACGGGAAGCAGGAGGAGCAGGTTTACTGAACATCCTCTCATCACGTGGCACTGCATTCCAACACACACATGAATCATAAACTGCAGATCTACAAGTAGTGACAATAACTATATACCAAGGTTGTGCTGGCTCTTAATCTTTAATCAGAGATCCTAAATTCAAGCCCTTGGAATAGGTCGCCTTTGGTAGGGAATGCCTTAACTTTTTGACGCAAATATAAATTAGTTGGATCCCAACGTGGATACTAAACACAAGGTGAGAAACCAAAAAAAACTAAGCATGGAGATGACAACAAATTGGAAATTTCAATATAAAGTATGGAGCAACACCATACTTTAAACAGTAAGTCACCTACTACAAAATATAGGGCTGAAAAGGCATTTAGAAGTCACTTGACAAAATATTGGACCATCAATAAGAAAGTAACTCTTAAAACTAGCTTAAACCACAGCATTGTACATCATTTACACCAATGTCCTATCATCTGTAAAAAGGTTAATCTGCTAAGCATCAATTTGGAATTCCAAAAGTCTTAAATTAAGGGGAAAAAACTTGGATCATGAGCAACACACTAGAACCTGGAATGGAGCTTTGTAATCTTTTAAAGCATCAGTGTGGACTACTAAGAGTTGCTCCAGGACTAGCCTTGTGAACCGAAAGATAATCATCTCCGTGCATTCAGCAGCCAAGCATGATACAACTCTGGCTTAATTAAGCAGCCAGATGTAAGAAATAGTAAGATAATGTGATCAAGGTACAAGCTTCATACCAAACCAGAGATAACAGCTGCAGCGCTATTCCCAGATTTCAGTGTTATGCCAAACAAGAAATCTACATTTCAAATTCAACAATCTATTAAAAGCAGGCACTTATGAAGGGAAACTTGTTACTTGATAAACGAAACATCAAATTAGTTTCCAGGAACTATTCAGGAGGTCTTCATTTTCTTCATGAACAATTCAATCCTATCGGCAGCATCATGCATATTCTTCTGTTTGATTTCCTGCAGTAGCACACTGCATGTCTTGTATCGAGGAGTAATCTCTTGGCGGATCATATCCTCAAAAACAAGATAGGCCCATTCACATTTATTTGCTCTGCACAAACCATGGATAAGAAGTGTATAACTTGATAGATCAAGACTTAGATGATGCTTATTAACCATGTCATTCACCAACTTATTCAGGAAATCATCTGTCTTCCCAACTTTAAAGCACAACTTGAGCAGCGGAAAGTATGACTGAACATCAGGTTTACAATATGGTGAACTTTCCAGGTCCCTTAAAAATTCTAGCGCACTTTCCGCTTGCGAGTGATGGCAAAACATGGCAATGATAGTATTATACGTCGATGTATTAGGTTGAACACCATTTCTGGGCATTTCAACCTTCAAGACACGAGTAGCTTCTTGTAATCGGTGCGCCCTGCCTAATGTATGAATCAGAGCGTTGTAGAAAAGTGTATCAGGTTTACAACCAACTGATTTCATCCTCTCAGCAATCTTAAGGGCTTCCTCAAATGCCCCTGATTTTGTCAAGAAACACATGATGGTGGTGAAAGTGACAACATTTGGTACACATCCCAGTCCTTGCATATCATCAAGCAGCTCGTAGACCCTCTGGAAGTTAAATTGCTGGCAGTAGGACATGATGATTGTTGAGTAGCTGATGACGCAAGGAGAACAACCATTGCCTTTCATCTCCTGAATTGTCCAGTACGCTTCTTCTACCCGATTAACTTTGCACCAACCATGAATAAAAACGTTAAACGTGTTTGCATTTGGTGGTATATGCGACTTGAGCTCGGAAAAAATTTCACGTGCCTGTTGGACTTTATTTTCTTTGCACAAAGTGTCTAGTAACAGATTCATTGATTCTGTATTCTTCTCCAAACCGAATTTTCCCAACTCGTCAAATGTCCTCACTGCTTCTTTCCACTCTCCTGCACCTGCAAACCTTCTCATAACTTTTGCTATTGTGTTGAGAGAAACAAGATGGTTTGCATGCATTTCGTCTATCAATGAGTGCATCTTTTCCATTTTCTTCATCTTTCCCAGTATATCTACCAACTTATCGTACAATTCTGGTGAGGGATTGTAGCCAGGACGTGATTGTGCCCATCTAAAAGCACCAAGTGCAGACTTCCAGTCATCTTTGAAGCGATAAAGCATCCTATCAACAAAGTTATCAGTGATATGTATGGAATCACAATCCGGATCAGAAAGCAATGACTGGAGAACCTCAGCCTCACTGCTTCCAGGACTTATTCTAACAAGTACAACATTAACATCAGAATCTCTTCCCAAGATCATGCATTTCTGTTGCTCACCTGGAATTCTATTGCCAGCAAACTGGGGACTTACGGAACAAAACACACTAGACAAGGTGGAAAAGTAGCTAAAGCAACTTTTACATGGTACATTAGAAATGTTACAAACCCCAAATGGGAGAGAAACAGATATGTATCTAAAGGGCAGTTTTCTAGCATAGAACTTCATGAGACTAGTATCTCACAAAAGACACGACAACAACAACAAAAACAACAACAACTACTACTCCTACTAATATCACTCAAGGGCAGACTCAGAGTGTAACATACGGGTTCGACCGACTCCAGTAGCTTGGCTCAGATCCTGTATATTGTTAAGAAATCAACTAAATATGCACGAATACTAAATTCAGAACTCAGTTACTAGCACTTAAGGTCGCTGTCCTACAATCCCAAACCCATAAATTTCAAATCCAAGATCCACCTATGCTATGATTTAATCCCAAACTAGTTGGTGCCGGCCAATAACAAACACTGCAAAGTAAGTATTTCTTGTTCCTGCATACATATTGAAGAAAATCAGCAACTTAACAGTACAATGCAAAAGTGATAAACTTAAGACAGCAAATAACATTAGAAGAAAAACGAAAAGATGACTTTCTCATATTTTTTGTATTATAGACTAATAAGAAGCACATTTTAACATCAAACCCAAATACAATATCCGAAGTTAAGACCTAAACGAAGGTTCTTTCCAACAGGGGTTTCAGTAAAATTTCAGCACCTCCATTAGAAAAGACTGCAGTGTACCTATGATACTATACCACCAGTTCCTGTGATACGATACCTACGACATGAATAATAAGAAGGTGTCACTATAAAGAAGAAACCCAGATAGGATAATGACGGAAAACAAAAGGCACCGAGACAAGGGCGGCTCTAAGGTAAGGCAAGTGAAGCTCTTGCATTAGGCCCCCAAATATTTAAGGCCCCAAAAATATAAAGTACTACTACATCATTATTTAATACTAGTTGGAATTGGCCCGTGCTGAGCCCGGGCCCGGACCTATTAAGTAAATAATTTATATTGTTTTATCACAGAAGTGGATAACTTTTTATAGAAAGCAAGTTCCGCTACAATTAATTTGTGGGTTGAGACATAATTTTAGGTACCCATTCTAATGAGTTGTGATTTGAGATAATAGTTCCTAGTGGCAACATTGTAAGTCTACCCTGCTAAGCAGGGGCTCGAGTTTAAAATGTAAACCCCTTTAATTTTCATGAATGCAAATTATATTGGTAGCTTAAACTTGGTTCCTGAGATTCAAATGTTATCTTTCTTGTTAGTATGTCACTTCTGCCTTCGGGTCTCCCCAGGATGTGAGCCTTGTACATATACCTATAGGCTTTCAAACATCATTGACTATCGCTATAAATACTAGTATACTACACATACCATAGTTTGACAATTGATGCTTTATCCAAAAGCTAAGAGTTCATATTTAACAAAAAAAATTAACATGTGCTCCATCCATGAATGTATCCGTCGATCAACAGAGTTAGTAATGCATAGGCACAAGGTTCATTAATATTTGATCTCTCAATGGCACTTGTATCTCAAACTTATACAGCTATTTACTTTGGAAAATATTAACAACTGCACGCAAATTATTGGAATAACTAAGTAACGGTCCTAAAATGTAAATTGTTAAGAAACAATGGTGGTCTTTCTGCTTTGGCCTTTAGCCTGTAAGAACTAAATTAGACACCAGATATGCCACAATAAATATGACAGAAACAACTGAAGCGAGAATATATAAGCTTTACATATTAACTGGTTCAGCTTCCCACTGTGTGTGAGTTAGGTGTTATAGCTTACAAAATTGCCGTGTATCATTGTATCTCTAAGGTTGATCTTAAGAAAGTAGTGAACTTGTATTATCTTCTACTTTTATTATTCTCAGAGTGATGTTTTTACTATACAAAGTAAAGAATGTAATACCAAAGCATCACTTACGAAGAACCGCCTAGCAAAATCCAAGCACCACACTAAACGTATAGCCGGGAACCCCCTCGTTACCTTACGTGCGACTCTAATCGCATACGGCTCACACAAAGACTCCTAAATCCATCATGAGCCCTTTCTTCCATCTCTCTTCTCCAATCCTCCATCACACTTGCGTTCCTCGGGTGCTATGAAATAGAGGTCTATGTATCGGCTTACCTTCGTCCCGAACCAAGGAGGCATTCTGGCGAACGTATGGGTGTAGGAAGTTCGACGACTACATAAGCTAAAAGACTATTACTACAAGAAAGAAAGTAGCACTTTAGGATATTTTTCCTTGTGATGCAAGAATACTGCGGCGACGTAAGTAAAATTGCTCGATTGTGAGGGGAAAACACACACATGAGCAAATCAGTCAAAATTACCAGAATGCATGAAGAAATTCCAACAAAAACTACCCAAATGAACATAAAAACTAACAAATGCCCACCATATAAAGTCCAATTAGGAACAATATGAATGCATTTGACAAAGAATAAAGGAATACTCACAAGAATTAAAAAAATACAGCACAACCCATAGACAACTTAAACCAAATGGAAAAAAAACATGTGAAAGCCGCAAAGAGGAGCAAAGGAGAGGAATCAGCTTTGATAAGTGAGAGAGTGCTGATTTTGGATTCTACAATCTGCGTTGATTCCAGATGTAGATAAGAGACTATCATATAACCTTAAATAGTTGTTGGATTCTAATATATTAATGCATATTCAGGGACGGAAGCACGTTGTGTCAAGCAGTGTATATATGTGCATAGAATATGCAAAAGCAAAATACTTATACAAATATTATAAATGACACCGGCACAAAGACCTCTGTATCTTGCTGGTTAAGCGCCTCACTATTCTGAGGTTAGTCTAGAGTCCCTCGGTCATGAATTTGTGCTTTTTAAATATTTTTTTTGGTCAAAGTAAAAAATTTTATTTCAACCAAATGTAGTATTATGTGCAAACTAGCTTTATTTGACATTTTGACTCTAGAGACTAGCTTTCAAAAATAGCCTCTGAACAACAACAGAAGATAACAATATGGTGAGCACCTCAACCTTTTATCCGTCTACAAACATACAGGTTGTGAGAGTGAGGCTTGAACTGCCAAATCCTTATAACAAAGCAGTAAACTTACCATTCTTTTCCATAACAAACTTTTTTTTTCATTTTTCATAAAACCAGTCGATCTCTTTCTAATAACAAGATTTCAACTTTACTCTCAAACTTATACAGGTCTTGCAATAAACAAAAACCTTGCCCACTGAAACCAAATTAACCTTATTCTTTTATTATTTATTCAATTTTATTTACTTTTACCAAATAATAACCAGATAGAGAAATAGCAAGATCTACTGCGACAACTATATAGAAAAGCTAATTGCCATAAGCCTAATACAATGAGGAATTGATGAGAAATCATTGCATGCATCAAAAAATTCGAAAAAAACACAGAGAGCACATTTAGGATTTCATAACAAAAAGAACAAACACAAGACCCGTGTATTCTGAGCATTAATGGTAACTCATGTTCTCTCCTAAATGAGCTAAAACAACAGAAATCAGCAGAATCACTTTTTTGGTGATTGGATCTATGAAGATATATGGATAAATAAGCTGTAGAGCAACTGAAAACATATAATACTAATGATTCTACAAATGAGATTCAAGTGTGTAAGAGAAACAAAGGACCAACCTAAACTTTTTAAATGGTCCAAGAAGATCAAGTTTATACAATGTCCCATCTCATCAAGATACATAATGTTGGAATATGAAGACCTAATACCTACGTAGAATATATAATATAATAATTATCTTCAAAATTTACTAAAAATGCCTTTTTGTAATGAGCAAAGGACAGTATCATTATAAGCATGAGCATGATCCCAAATAATTTGAAATGCATTAATAAAAAGTTCTTATTTAATGTCACATTAGATGAAAAAGTAATGTCAAGAACCAGACTATCACTCCAAAAAACAAAAACTATGAAGTCTAACTCAGGTAAAAAAATATTCATTAGATAGAAATAGTAGTAGTTTTCCGCATTGTTTCGTTATAACATCTTAGGGAGCAGTTGAATTATGACTCAAATGTATATCAGACAACATTGACTCAGGGTGATTCTAAAATAAAAAGAAGTGAACTCATAGCATGAATCAGACTATCCCACCGATATATGGTCAATAAGACCCTTGGCCGAAAAAATACAGTTAAATATTTTATTAAAAATCATTACATTGCTGAGCTACTTGTATCCTGTTTCTAACATCATATGGTAATAGTTGCACTTGTACTCAATGATAAAGATACTGGAATGAGTTCTTGATGCTTAGTTGCATTGGCTCGCTATTGAACAAGCATGTAGCACAATTAATAGATTAAAATCATCCAGAAGCTTCTTACTTGTTATAATGCCAAGTTGAATGACAATGTACATCCTACAATCTAATAGGCATCTGAAAATAGTGCGAAACAGGGCGAATGAAAAATGGATCACTTTGTGAATACAACAGACCGACTAATAAAAATTAACTATAAAATTTATATAGTATAGTAGGTGGAGTATTGATAGTTTATTTCATTTGATATCTGAGGTTTTTCTTTGGGCAGCTAGAGGGCAGGTCTTTATTTTTTTGATAAATCTACCGAGCAGGTCTCTGTTTATACGCTTGATCTAAAAACCTCCATTTCATCAATGTTAAACTCTCCAAATATTTCCTCCTGTAAAACTGTCCCTACTACAATAAACTTTGCCTCTTCTTGAAAAATCCATATCTTCCAACCTTTCCTCTACTCTTCCCTCTTCTTCACTAAACCTCTAAATTAACCACCTCAGCGCCTGCTTTCTAAAACTTTGATCACTCTTATTTTCCTTAATTTTACCCACATTTTTCTCCATGTTAGTCAAACGGTCAAGAAATATGTCCTTTTCCGAAATTGTCTCGAAAGAACCATAATTAATGGAAATTAACACTGAACCAAAGCTATCACTACTCACATTTTTTCATATCATCTAACACTTTCTATGTTCTATTGTGTAGCATTCCCCATTGGTCATGTTTAGATATTTTATCATCGTATCTATTCAAGTTCTACACTTTAACGGAACTTACGACACAGGCATTCCAGATCCCAAACTTTATGATCCCTTTGTTAGACCAAACAATGTTCCAAAATAAAACACAGAGTAACATTTTTCATTAGTTAAAAAACAACGAGAAAGAAAATAAAAGTTAAAACAAAATAGATAGCATAAAACATACAAAGTTAAGCAAATTAATTTGTACGCGCCACATACAGGGAGATGACATCGAACGCAAAAAACGGAATTACAGCCAGAGGTAAGAAATAAGCACTAATTAAAGAAAACCAAATGATTACAATTTGTTTCAAACTGGCACACAATGAAAGATTGAATAAACTGTAAAAATAATATGCTTCGAAGTTTCGAATTAACTCCAAAATGAAGGTAGCAAATGCAATTAACTTTTGGCAGAATGTGAACCTACTTAACCTAAAAATCATACACTGAAATCTTAATATGAATCATGTCAGCTGAACACATGCCAAATTCAACTCAAAAGATGGATTTTACAAAAAAGAGCCAATCTCAAAATTAAGAATATAAGACAAAAAACTCCCACAAAGTGAAAGAGATAATTGTTTACCCGAGTTAATGTGTTGCCGTGTGCATAATAAGAAGATTAACAGTGCAAATTTGCTCATACTAAAGTTTGTATATCCCTCCTGGGATCTTGAAATAGGTTGGTTGGCCTATTCCTTCACTCGACTCTCTTAATCCTAATCCTATGTAGCAGAGACAATGGGTAACGCTTGAGAAAAGAGCAATCAAGGAAAACTGGGCATCTGATTTTCGGACCAGCATAGAAATTGGAGAACCTAGACGACAAAGAGGAATTGCAAAAGGGGAACACCACTTTTTCTTTACCTAAAAGCACTCTAAAATGGCCCAATTTACGTTCAGCAACGAAATAATATAAACTAAACCGAGGGGTAAAATCGAACTTCTCTTTTTCAAAAGTGTGTTTGGCTAATTAGTTTGAAAAGTAAGCTATTAGTATTTAACAAGTTTTAAAAAACTGTTTTTAAGCGTATTTTTCTCAAAAGTGCTTCTCAAAAAAACGATTTTTAGAGAGAGTACTTTTTTCTTCTTCTTCAAAACTGCTTCTACTTCTCCTCAAAAGCATTTTTTTTTCTTCCAAAAGCTTGGCCAAACACCTCAATTTTTAGCCAAAAGTGCTTTTGGCAAAAAAAAAAAAAAAAAAA